TGTTATAACCATAATTTTGTGTCTAGAACCCTCTAATAAGTACCTCCATTCCTTAAAAGCTAACACAATAGCTAATAGTTCCCTGTTCCCAACATCGTAATTCTTTTCTGGATCAGACAACCTTTTTGAAAAGTAACAACAGGGATGGAGGGGTTCGTCATACGATAACCTCTGTGACAGTACTGCTCCCACCCCCGATTCAGAAGCGTCTACTTCCATAACAAAGGGAAGAGAAGGATTAGGGTGGTGTAGTACTGGAGCAAAGGCAAATGCTTTCTTGAGATTTTCGAAGGCCTTAAGGGCTTCAGGAGTCCAAACCCTAGGGTGTAGACCTTTTTTAGTCAGCTTCGTGATAGGGGAGATAAGTGGTGAATTTTTTTTTATAAATTTCCTATAATAGTTAGCAAAACCTATAAAACGCTGGATAGCCTTAAGTCCTTGGGGAAGTGGCAAGGACAGTATAGCTTCCAATTTAGCAGGATCCATACTACAGTCCTTTTCAGTAATTATATATCCCAGGAATTGCTGGAGGAGGTCTGATCGAACAAACATTTTTCTAACTTACAATAAAGTCCGTTCTGTAATAACTTTTTAAGCACCATCCTAACATGATTATGATGTGACTTCAAATCAGGAGAATATACAAGTATGTCGTCAAGGTACACCATGGCACAGACATACAATAGATCCCTAAGGACATCATTTATGAGATCCTGAAACACAGCAGGAGCATTACACAGTCCAAAAGGCATGACCAGGTATTCGTAATGCCCACTACGCATATTGAACCCTATCTTCCACTCATCATTCTCCTTTATACGGATAAGGTTATAAGACCCCCTGAGGTCTAATTTAGTAAAGTACTTAGAACCTTTAACACGATCAAACAACTCAGTGTTGAGGGGGATAGGGTAGGCGTTTTTAATCGTTATATTGTTCAGAGCCCTATAGTCTATACATGGCCTCAAATCGCCCTCCTTCTTTGCCACAAAAAAGAAACCAGCACCAGCAGGAGAGGAGGACCTTCTAATAAAACCTTTCCTTAAGGATTCCTGTATGTACTCCTCCATGACCTGGTTTTCTTTCTCAGAAAGAGGGTAGACCTTACCCCTAGGGGGCATAGTACCCGGTAACAGGTTTATGGCACAGTCATAGTCACGATGCGGAGGTAGCTTATCTGCCTCCCTTTTTAAAAAAACCAATGCAAGGTCTGCATATACAGAAGGGACAGAAACAGAAAGTGGTTTAGCCGTGGGCACGTTGAGTAAACAAACAGGACATACATGAACCATACAATCTCGTTGACAAGATTCCCCCCAGGAGAGTATATCTAAACAACCCCAATCGAGTACAGGGTTGTGTTTCACTAACCAGGGACAACCCAGAACGATGGAAGCAGTAGGGGAGTCAATTATTTGGAAGGTTAACCTTTCCTTGTGCAAAACACCCACAGACATCACTATTTCTTGGGTCTCATGGGTCACCAGAGGTCTCTCAAGTGGTCTACCATCTATGGCCTCAAGGGTGTGGCCTTTTGGATCAAAGTCAAGGCTGCGGTTTTAGCAAAGTTCTCATCCATAAGGTTGTCTGCCGCACCTGAATCGATCAAGGCTGTTATAGTGGTTTTATTGACCAAAAGAGAAACCGTAATAAACGGTCTGGAGATGGACACATGAGGGGACAAAGTCATAACACCCGAGGCCGACCCCTCTCTAGGCCTTAGGTGCTGTAGTTTCCCTGTAACTTAGGGCAGGCATTACAGTGGTGCCCCCTGTTTTAAAGGCTTAACCCTTCCCTTCTACGATACGCTCTTTCAGCCTCAGTTAGCCCCGTAGCACCCAATTGCATGGGTTCGGGGGATGGTTGCCTAGGAGCGGGTAGTGCTAGTAATGCAGTAGAGGGTAGAGCATGTAATGCCCGTGTATCCATCCATCTTTGACTACGCCTCTCTCTAATATGGTTATCAATAAGAATGATATAATCTATAACATCATCCAGAAGAACAGGCAATTCTCTGGATGCTATTTCATCCAGTATGTAGGTGGCCAAACCCTCCTGAAAGGCTGTTACGAGTGCGTCATTATTCCAAACCACTTCAGCTGCTAGAGTGCGGAATTCGATAGTATAATCCGCTGCAGATCTGTTACCCTGTCGGACCCTAAGCAGAGCTTTGCCAGCAGAGGCAACCCTACCAGGTTGATCAAACGTACGTTTGAAAGCTGTCAAGAAATCTGCAAAGAACATAGGAGACGTATTCTCCCACATGGGGTTAGCCCATGCTAAAGCTTTCCCGGACAAGTAGTTTATCAAAAAGGCAATTTTGGATCTGTCAGTGGGATAGGAACGTGGATTCATCACCAAATGGATATCAATTTGGTTGAGGAAACCACGACACAATGCTGGGTCACCGCTGTAACGCTGTGGCGGCGTCATATGAATAACATGAGCAGGAACGGGTACCGGAGTGGGAATGGGTTCGGGCACAGCAGCAGCAGCCTCCTGAATGGCAGGTTGCAAGTGTGCAGTACGAGCCAGTATGGTTTGTAAAGCTTGGGCAAACTGATCCATACGGTGGTCTAAACCATCCATTCTAGCCTCCTGATTAACTAGGAGCTGTGGAATGTCACGATTCGGGGAACCAAACACGCCAACACACACACACACAAAGTGCAGTACCGGACCTTAGAGTGGCCGGGCTAAGCACACAAAGAATAGTCAGGAAACAAGCCGAGTAAAGGGGAACCAGAAGACAGAATAACGATAGACAAGCCGAGAAAGTCACAAAGTCGGATAAACAAGCCAGAGAGTACGTAACCAGAAACACAAGTTCAGTAGTAATACTAGCAAGTAAAGACCACAACAGGGCGGAGAGGAACAGGAAAGGTAAGTATATAAATCCATAGGTTAATTCTGATTGGATAATTTCCAATCAGAATTAACAATCACACGTGGGAGATATCTAAACCTCCCACTGTGATTGAGGCACTGTGCCTTTAACGCCGGGTCAGGTGACTGACCCCGGCGTTTGTTAAAATGGGCGGTCTCCCAGCGTGCAGCGTCATGCATGCTGTTGCTGGGGGACACAGAGGAAGACGCAGGCGGCATCCGTGGCTGGGAGGATGCCGCCCGCCGAGCACAGGCCAGGAAGGGGACCGCGGACGGCTGGAGGGTGAGTGCCGCGTGCGGACTGCAACCTCCCCACGCAGCCGCCCGCGGGACCCTGACACGGATACAGAGAGCACAACACAAAAACACCCCAAAAACATAACAAAATCAACAGTAACCCCAACACATGATATATCCTCAGATTGCTCTGATCCAAGCACCAATGTTGACAAATAGCGCATGGATCCAAGAAGAAATGACAAATCACCACTGGGGTAAAATTATAGCTAACAGAATCCATGCCCAATGGAGTTCCAGGATAAATGAGGGTTTCTGATGGTCAAATGTCAGGAGCTCCTGTGAATGAAATAAGGGGTGCTCCCCCGACTCTCAGAGAAGGATTGTTCCACATAGTTCGGGGCACATTCCCTCCAAAAAGCGCTCTTTTAACTGGTTGGGAAAACAGGTGAAAGTTGGCTGGGAGATGGGGTTAGCCATGGCCAAGCCGGAGTTCAAGAGGGGTTGTGAGTAATTCCCTCTAACTGAGTATATGCGCTGAAGAGTCTCCCTGGTCCCGCAGAGTGAAAGTATGTTACAGTATCAACACGCATCAGCCAAGACTTGATGAAGGGTAAATTAGAATGTTTTATTAGGGCCAAGTTGCCAGGCTATATACACGCATTAGGTCTCCATTCAGTTTTACAGTAAGCCCGTCCAAGCGCCTCTGTGTCTGGGAGATAAGAGAGCTGGCTTTTCCTTAAACTAATCATCTCCCAGGCACTCGAGGTACATTACAAAACACAAAATACCCCAAAATACATACAAGGTTAATAGGAACCCCCACATGTGTTATATCCTTGGAGAGCCTGGATCCAAGCGCCCAAGTTGTCCAAATAGCGCTTGGATTGGTTTAGTGTAGCTGTGGCTGATGCCCAAAATAGTTCCAGAGAAAATGTCCCACTGCCTGCTTTCATGAGACAAATGGCTGCCATTTGCTAGAGCACGTGTTGTTCGGTTACATGAATGGCAGCTATAACGGAGCTCCCTGTACACCGACTGGGTACTACTGCCAATGACCGCTTCCTAGCTGGAACAGGGAAAAAATCTCAGCACTCTTGCCCTCAGTCACCATGGCTTGACTGGGGCCCTGGAACCACTTCTTCCTGGACACCCCCAGGCACTGGACGATACTCAGTCCTGGGAGCTCTAGTCCTTACAAGGACTTTTCCCATTGAATCCTCTGCAAGCTGGAACAGCAGACACAGGAGTAAATCTTCTTTCCCTCCAATAACAGGATGACATAGATTTTAATGGTGCCAGACTTGACTTTTATGCAAGTCCCCAAGCAAGATATATTCCCACATGGACTTTGTTGGGGACAGGGACACAAACTGAACAACCAATAACAACACGGTTACAAAGTGTGACACACCCAATACAAGCATACAATCCCTCCTTTTTGCCTGGGAGATAATTGAGGCAGATACTGCATTAACCCAATTATCTCCAGGCAGAAAAAACACATATTTTACAAAACCCCAAAAGTACCCCCAAAACACATAAAATACCCATAATTATTACATCCCCTGATAGCCCTGACCTGGGTGACCAACATATACAAAAATCACCCAGATCAGTTCAGGGGTTCATGAATTCTATGGAATTCCCATTTTGACCAAACACACGCATGGTTTCATGCCCAAAACAGAAATACAGGCTGTGCGGCCAGTCTACTTCGAATATTCAAAATAACATTCAAATAACCGAACGAAGCAGTTCGTGGATAAAGTTAGTGTATGTCTCTTGTTCTGGGGCATATTCTTACCGAACGCTGTTCGACTCCCGTTCGAATAGCCGAAGGTAAAGTTTTAGCGCTGTTCGTGCAGTTGAGTGTCCGATTTGAGTTCCATGCACTCGACGACCAAACACTGCTGGATTCGTTCGACTAAGCAAGATGCCGCCACGTGTTCGAATGGCTTTGGTAGTTCGACAGTTCAAAGTGCCACTTCGAAAGTTTGAAGTGTGAATCAGTTATGGAATATTAACCTAATTAAGTCCTATACACCAAGACTCCAGCGAGTGACTTGTATTGTTTTGTTTGACGACTCCCTGTTGTGATTACTCCTATATAAACCTGTGGTTCATGCAATAAAAACAGTTCTTATTCGCCCTTCACTTAGCCTCGGCTAGTGTTTGGGTGAGACAGCTATACAGCTATACGCTCAGGAGGAGAGCCTGATCACTTTGAGACAATAGCACGATACTAATAGCTCTAGGGCGGGAAAGTTCCAGATATACCCCAGTCAAGCTGCTGCAAATGGGACTGAAGTGCTGTGTGTGTCCCGGTTACAGCTAGGAAGCGTGCCTCATGGTTGCTAGAACTTGCCTGTCCACTAATGCCTCAACTCCACCTATTTTGGATACACCTCTTGAATCTGACCTCCCCTTACCACCCCCCAATTTCTCCTCCCGAGCTAGATCTGGTGCAGCTGGTGTTTCCACTCCTGCTCCTCTATTGTCCCCGCCTACCCACACACCTATCTCAGATGCCAGTTCTCTTGCTTTAAGCCCTCCTATTTCTGTACCTACCCCCACTAGTTCTCTGTATTCTGAATTGGCGCTCTTTTTAGTTACTGGTCAGGCTCCTCCCAGCCCTGTCCGAAATATTTTATTAACAAAATTACCGACGGACATGATTAACTTACCTTCTTCTACCCTTCTGACAACTCCCCAACCGGAACCTGTTAAAACACATCACTCTATAAATGTTCACAGTCCCATTTTAACACGTATAACGACTGGTACCCTCCAACCCTGGCATTTACAGATGCCTCTCCGACTTACTCCTGGCCCAACACACATTGATGGCAATGGCCAGTTGCAATTGGCAGACACTGTATTTGTATACGTTCCCTTTACTACAACCGACTTATTTAATTGGAAAACCCATAACCCCTCATACACGGAAAAACCACAAGCTATGACTGATTTGGTCACATCGATCATACAAACCCACAACCCTACTTGGGCTGATTGCCAGCAGTTATTATTAACTCTATTTTATTCTGAGGAAAGAACCCGTATTAACCAAGCAGCCATTAAAGTTCTTGAGGAGACTGCCCGTACCCAAAACCAAGCAAATCCCGCGGCCTGGTCTACTGCCCATATCCCCAATACGGATCCTAACTGGAATATAAATGGTGCTGATATGGTTCATTTAAAAGCTTACCAACAAGCTTACCAACAAGCTTACCAATTATTATAGGCATGAAAGCAAATGGGAAAAAGGCTATAAATATGTAGAGAGCAGCTGAAGTATTACAAAAAAATGATGAATTTCCCAGTGCCTATTATGAGAGCATGCTTGAATCATACAGACTTTATCCCCCTTTTAATCCCGAAGCCCCTGAAAATTCTCGTATGATTAATTCGGCATTCAGCAGCTAGGCCCAGAGTGACATTAAAAGGAAATTGCAAAAGTTAGAGGGATTTGCAGGGATGTCCATAACACAGCTAGTGGAAGTCTCAAACAGGGTTTATATGAATAGGGAAGCTGAAAAAAAGCGTAAGGAGGAACGCAGGATGAAAAAGAAAGTAGATATGCTAGCAATAGCTATTACAGGCGTGGGTAGACAAGGAGGAGAGATGGAAAGGGGAGGTGAGAAAAGGACAGGCTACCAGGCCAGGCCAGGACTAGCCAGGATAGGACTGACCATTAGGCAGAAATCAATGTGCGTATTGCAGAGAGGAAGGACACTGGAAAAGTGACTGCCGACAGAGGGGATATAAAGCAAGTTTTAAACAAGAGGAGAAAAGGGGACGAGGTAGCTATAGAGGTGGCTATAGAGGAAGAGGAAGTATTGGAGGGAGCGACAGTAGTAACACAGGAGACGTCCAGGAAGGTAGATACTACCCCCCTACTCAGAGACCAAGGGATAGGGACTGTGTGGGTCTGGCTGATACAGTCATGGAGGACTATTGATACAGACCGGGCTTCATTCCCCTTGGCCGAGTGGAGCCTATGGTCGAAGTAACAATAGGGGGAAAAAAAGTCCCTTCATGATTGATACGGGTGCTGAACACTCTGTTGTGACCAAATTAGTAGCCCCTCCCTCTGGAAAGACTGTTATAGTAATAGAAGCTACTGGGAAAGGAGCAATTAGACCGGTTCTCAGGAGTCGTACTTGCACACTAGGGGGCCATTTTGTTAAGCATCAGTTCCTATATATGCTGGAGTGTAAAATTCAACTTCTAGGACGAGATCTTTTGTCAAAACTTCAAGCACAGATAACATTTCTACCCAATGGATTAACATCCCTGCAGTTCAATAAATCACCAGGCATGTTAGCCGTATTGGTGCCAAAAGAAGAAGAATGGCGTCTGTATTCTGCAATGATAACCCAAAGAGTGATGGATCATTATTTGATATTCCAGGAGAATGGGCAGAAAATAATCCTACAGGACTCGCCCATAATATTTCAACTATACATATTGAATTAAAGCTTGGGGCTTATCCTGTTAGCCTTCGTCAGTACCATATACCACAGAAGGCCAAGAAAAACATACAGACATACTTGGATAAGTTTGTGAAGTATGGCATCTTGAAACTCTGTACCTCCCCTTGGAACACTCCATTATTACCTGTTCAGAAACTGGGATCTGATGAGTATCGTCCTGTACAAGATTTAAGAGCAGTTAATGATGCAGTGGTTAACATACACCCAGTGGTACCCAACCCCTATAATTTGCTTGCCCTGATTCCTGGTGGTGCAACCCACTATACAGTCTTGGATCTCAAATATGCTCTCTTTTAACTCCGAGTCGCCGCTGAAAGCCAGTGTGCTTTGCTTTCCAATGGGAGGATGCTGTTACGGGATCAAAATGACAGATGACTTGGACCAGGTTACCACAAGGGTTTAAGAATTCACCTACTCTATTTGGATCTGCATTAAGTCGAGATTTACAAAATTTCAAATCCATCCCATGGAAAGGTGTACTACTCCAGTATGCGGATGATCTTTTAATAGCCGCAATCACCAAATAGATGTGTCAACAAGCAACTCATGAACTTCTCCACATCCTATGGAAGGCTGGATACGAGGTATCTAGGAAGAAGGCACAACTGTGTCAGTAAACTGTCAAGTATTTAGGATTCTATTTTCAGAGGGTCAAAGAACAATGGGACCTGAAAGAAAAGAAGCTGTATGCCGCATACCCGTACCAAATAATAGAAGACAAGTTCGAGAATTCTTGGGAGCAGCTGGATTCTGTAGGATATGGATTCCTAACTATGCGATACTGGCAAAAACAGTATGAGGCTGTAAAAGGCACAGAACGTGATCCATTCCTGTGGACTACAGAGCAACAGAAGTAATTTGAGAAAATCAAGAAAGCACTTATGAGTGCCCCAGCCCTCGGCCTGCCAGACCACACCCACCATTTCTTTCTGTATGTACATGAGCAAAGGAAAATGGCTGTAGGAGTGTTGACACAATACTTGGGATCATGGCAACTATGAGGAGAAAGGCAGCAGGGAGTTAGCAGTGAACTACATGGAAATTTATACGGCCACTCGACCATGCGGTCCCTGGTCTACTTATCCTCCTGTTTTGTCCCACTTGCCGACATGACATGGGAGCGCTATTTAGAGGGAAGGTACTACAGACTCTTGAGAACAATCACTCCCAGAGAATCAGGGCGAGTGCCCTTTCGTCTGACCACATGAACTCCCGATGTTTGACCGGCCAAGATCACTTTTTTTTTCTGGAACAATTTTGGGCTTCACCCACAAGTACGACTGGTCAAAACTTCACCCTGATGGACCCCGGGGGCTATGTGACCAACTTGGGTGCTTGGACAAGAGATATACAGGGATGTAGGACATGAGGGGCTTCAGTGGGATCTAATTGTATTTTGAGGTGTTTTTCGTATGTTTCTATGTTTGGCTCTCTGTATCCAGGAGATAATTAACTTCCTGGTCCTTGGCTCAATTATCTCCCAGACACAGAGACATCTGAGCGATATCACAATGTAAAAGAATGGAGACCCCATGCTGGGGGTCTCGGCAAAAAAGGCTGCATTCAGAGCAATAAAACCAGATTACTATCAGAACTATGTCTTGTCTCGTTACTGTCACGTTCCAGTCTGGCTGAGAGGACAGATTAGTGGAGGTAACCTGTTGAGCTACCAAAGGTTTGCTACAAGTATGTTTACATTTAGCATGCACCACGCCCCTTCACCAGAGCTGGGACTGATCACATAGGTGTTGTTGCATTTCTGCTCTACCACCCAGTATGCACCCTGCCATGCGGCCTGCAGCTTGTCATTGCAGATGGGCTTCAAGACTGGAACTTTCTGCCTGACATTCTTGTAGCCCAGCCTGGCTACTGTTAACCCTGTACCTGTATAACTGTAGCATGTGGTCAGTGGCTGCCTCCTTCCAAGAGTATCAATTGGAGCAGTTCCTTCATAGTCTTAATTTGGTGAGTTTGTAACCATCCCACAGCTGCTCGTGAGTACAACAAGTCCATTCGGTGTGAGAGTCTCATTTGTCTTTTTTAGTTCTCAAAACAGCTGCCAGTATACTTCTGATGTGATGGCATACTGGGCCAAGATAACTTCCTTGACCTGGGTATAGTTTTGGATGTCCTCAGCTGGCACTGGTCGATATGCCTCTGCTTGGCCCGACCGTTTGACGGCCAAAAGTGGGACCCAGTCTGCAGGGCTGATGTTGTTCAAGTTGCACTGTCGTATGAAATTCTGGAGGAAGCCATCACTATTCTCCTCGGCTTCCACAAAGTTTTTAAAAGCCCCATATAAATCTTTGGCTTCTGGGTTGGGTGAAACTGCTGGTATCCCCTCATGGTACTGCCGCTCGGACAGCCGTAGCTGTACCTCTTGATCAGCTTGGTCCATTTACCTCTGTGCGGGTTCTCACCACTGTCTAATGGGTGATTGCCATAGAAGGCAAGCCTGAGTCACACCTCTTTCTGGAGGTTTGTCTCGTTGGCCAAAGCCAGGTACGAGGTGCTGCTGGACTGGTCTCCTTTCCATGACTTCTGTGACAAAGGTAGCCTTTGGCTTGATGCCGGCTATCTGTCCCATTGCCTCCAGCAGTTCTTTTATGGTACTTCTCTTAAGTGATGTATAGTTTTTCTCCTTGAGCAGTCCATCTGCTGTTCCATTGCTCAGTAGGCTTTGTTCAGCTTTCCTCCACAGAAATACATGATCTCTCCCAAATTCACCCGAAGCGCTCTGCTCTTGGCAGCCATTCAGTAACAAGCTACAGCTGAATGGCCCAAGCGAGACTTGGCAATCAGCACCTTGGAACAGGAAACTGCCACTTCGCCTTCACTTCCCCGGTCCTATTTACCCCTTGTATTTTCACCTTTCCCGACTAGAAAGTAGAACGCTTATTGGAGGGAGGATACTCTAGACTATGATGAACAATCGCTCCCTGAGAGCCTGGGGGAGCCATTTGTTTGTCCGCAGGAGCTCAGCGATATAAAATAGGTGGGGGCTCCAGCCTGTTTTTGTTGTGTTTTATATGTTGTACCTCGTGTGTCCAGAAGATAATTAGTTTAAGCAAACGCAAACTCACTAATCTCCCAGACACAGAGACACCCGGGCCGGTTTACTGTTTTATGAATAGGGACCCCATGCTGGGAGTTGTGTATATTAACAGGTATCATGGCCTAATAAAACCAGTTGTTTGTACCCTTCATCAAGTCCTGGGAACAGGGTCCTGGGTACAGCACCAAGTGATTATGCTCTCCTGCAGAGAGTATAGCTGTATAGCTAGTCCACCCAAGCACTAGCCGAGACTGAGTGAAGGGTGAAAACAAACTGCTTTATTCAGGCAAGGCACACAAAATTCATACACAGACCCCCCAGGACAAAGAGGGTACAACACATAAGAACACACTTAATACAATAAAATACTCCACATGTCCTATATACCCGAATAACCCTGATCTGTGCGCCCAAGTTTAAAAAAAATAGTGCTCAGATCCATGCAGTGTAGTGAAATCGATACTTGGGTAAAGTTCTGATAACCAGAACTAATAGTTCCGGGGCGATTAGTGCTTTGGCCAGTCAACTTTTGGGAGCTCCTGTGGATGAAATACCGGGTGCTCCTCCTGGCTCTCAGAAAGCAATTGTTCCTCACAGTCTTGGGCAACTTCCCTCCAAAAAGCGCTCTCCTGGCAGGTCGGCAAGGGGGTCAAAATACCGGACCAAGATTACCTAGAACCGCAAAGTCACATAGCTGAAAAAGGTTCTGCTGCGATCGCTGAGGACCGTTTGCAGGTTAGCTTGTGCGAACGACTGCCAGGAAGTGAACGTTAGGTTGAATTTGGGAGAGGGAAGGTACTAAACCAGGGGAACTGAGGATAACAGGGTCTTTGGATACGACCCATACTATTTGGACATGGATCTGAGCACCTCACAGGGGTATTTGGGGATATAAGACTTGCTGGGTTCCTGTATGAATTACCTGTATTTTGGGGTATTTTTTATGTTTTTATGTGTGGTCCTCTGTAACTGAAAGATAATTGAGTTACTAGTCTTCGACTCAAATATCTCCCAGACATAGAGAATGCGCGTTCAGATTATTTTATTTTAA